AGGGATGGAAAGTCTGACTGGAAATATCTCCAGTCCAAGCAAGCCGGGAACCAGAGTGGATCTGTCTCGGCTTGAGAAGCGAGAGTGGATCAGGACCCCTGTCGCGCCCAGAGAGCGCAGGATGAAAGCCGCCACGGGTCGAAGTGGAAAAAGAAGCGATTTCCCTCGTCTTTTGGAGTTGTGAAAGACTCCGGCGTGTGTAGCTTCCCTCCCCGCGTCAGCCGTGCTCCCATGAGCCTCCTCTCTCTCTGCGCGCCGGCTCGGGGAGTCACCTCCTTTGCCAGGTACACAACAGGAGCACGGCTCCTCTCTGAGCCGCGCCGTGCTGAACTTTTTCAGGGGAAGAAAGGGAAGACGGAAGATTAAAAACAGCCCTGTGATGTGGAGAGCTGGGTCGCCTGAGCCGTGCAGCGCTCAACTTTTTCAGGGGAAGAAAGGGAAGACGGAAGATTAAAAACAGCCCTGTGATGTGGAGAGCCGAGTCGCCTCCTGAGGATTCCTGGCATAATAATTTAAATGATCAAATGATCCAGAGGAGACTTGTTAGCGCAGAAACAGCCTCCTAGTTGGCCCCATGGGCCCCTCACTGAGACACATGCATTGCAAAACAGCTCCTCTGTTGTGCTAAAGAATCTCACCTTTATATATATATATATATATATATATATACTATTTCTTTTTTGGGTGACTTTTTATCCTTTTCTACTTTGTTAGATTTGTCTAGATAAGTATTTGGAAGCAAGTTAAGCAGCTGAGGTTGGTGGTTTTTGGCGATATAGAAGGAATATTTTGATTCGTTCTGATGTGGGAAATGATGTTTTGGTAACACTTTACAATAAGCTTCCAGTTGTTTACATGAACTAACAATGAAACGTGTTTATTACTCTTAGTTTATGTTAATTTCAACTCTTACTAATACACTATTAAAATGTTAATATTATTTAATGGACCTTAGTTACTGTGAACATAAAAAAAAAATTATTATAAAAAATGCTGTATCAAATTAATTTCTCATTAGTTAATGTATTTAATTAATGTTTAGCTGCTGGGTTCTTTTTGTAAAGTGTTACCAATGTTATTAAAGGGGTCATATGATGTTGCTAAAAATAACATTATTTGGTGTATTTGGTGTAATGAAATGTGTTTATGCGGTTTAAGGTTCAAAAAACACATTATTTTCCACATACTGTACATTATTGTTTCTCCTCTATGCCCCGCCTTTCTGAAACGCGTCGATTTTTACAAAGCTCATCGGTCTGAAAAGCGAGGTGTGCTCTGATTGGCCAGCTATCCAGTGCGTTGTGATTGGCCGAATACCTCAAGCGTGTGACGGAAATGTTACGCCCCCACAACGTAGTTGTGTTACAAAGTAGTTTCGCTTTCACAATGAAACACAGCGTCTTCACGACATGGCGGCAACAACAATACTACAGCGAGAATAAAAGTTACGCCTTCTTTCTTTGCGTGAACATTTGGGCGGCGTTATGCAAATCTTCCCACATCGTGACGTAGATATGTGGGGGTGTGTTAGAACGAGCCGTTTTAGGTAGGCGTGGTTGACTCTTAACTTTTATAAAGAATATCTCTTTGGATTTGAGACTTTAGTCTTTGCAACATTACAGATCTTCTTTATGCACCAAGAGCTTGTAACACTCCAAAGAGAAAGGAAAAATTGAAATCACATCATATGACCCCTTTAAATAGGAAAGAGACTTCTTAGGTTACATTTTTATATATTATGTAAACTAAGAGTTCAATATATGTTTGTTTATTATTATTATTATTGTTATTAATTTTAATTAATAAAAAATACATTGTAAATTTTACAAAAATTATAATTATTATGTTTTTTAGCATTATATTAGTCAGTTGAATTAAATAAGAACTGTAGAAAGTCTAAAGGTGTGTTCACATTTACAATTGCTCTGTGAAATTTCGCAAGCAAAGTCCAATAGGAAGCCGTGTGTTTGGGAGTTTTGCGTGAGGGCAAAAATAGTTCCTCACGCAGATTTCGTTTGTGTTCAAATTGGTTGCACAAATTCGCCATGTTGACCAGAAAGCTGCTTATTAAAGTGATTTCAGTGGGAGAAGTGCTTCATGAATTGCTACACTATTGACCTTAGTCAGGGTAGTGCCAGGGAGTGAAAGTGAGGCTGTGAGGGACTGAAGTACAGTGCGTTATTGTGCGATTGTTCAGCTTATGAATCGACTTTCTGAAAGAAACTTTCAGTAGACAAAAACTTCATAAAACAGTTTGAAAGTTGTGAGTTGTGAAAAGGACGTGATCTAAGGCCTTTATACAATGCATGCCATTAAAAAGACTGTAAGTCTGTCCCTCACAGCCTCGTTTTCATCCATGTTAAGTTCAACACAGCATCTAACCTAAGGTCTAATGACAGCCTACAACTGACCTTTTTTTGCCCGCAAAATTTCACCGGATTTTCTCAAATGTGACTGTGCACTAAAGTAGCTTTGCATCTCTCTGTGTGTGTGTGTGTGTGTGTGTGTGTGTGTGTGTGTGTGTGTGCAGATCCGGCTCCGCTGCTGCAGGCCACACAGGAGCGTCTGGCAGAACTTCAGCGTTCGGCTCCTGACGGTGACCCTCTGGTCACAGAAATCTCTGAGCATTGGAGAAAACACCTGGAGTGCCTTGACAAAGCAGGTCAGAGTCTAAAACACACGATAAACTATAACATACAGTATGCTCTTTCACATACACACATTGTTCTCTACACTGAAAAAAAAAGGTTTAGAAGGTCGTGTCTTCTTCGCTTAACAAGCAATAATGAACTCTGACGACTTGAATTAAAACAAAAGAACTGATTTACTGTAGTTTCAGATAGTTTTACAGGGATTAATTCACTTTAGCAGTGTACACACATACTCAGTCCACTTCTTCTCAGCGCGCTCTCTATCTGAATAGCTTTATGGGCGATGTTTTCTTAAAGGGGAACAGCCCAATAAATTACTATATATACGGTTTCTGTTCTTATTATTGAAAACAATGAATTAAACATTATACTAAGCATTTATGACTCATATTAATCTAATTTAAGTTACAACATAGAAACAATTTTAACTCGCATGGTAAATATTACAAATAATTACAAAGAAACAGCAAGTAACACATTGAATTAAACTTTAGGTTACACTTTACTTGAAGGGGTGTGCATAAGACTGACATGACACCAGTGTAGGGGTAGGGTTAGGTCAAATAATGTCATATTTGCATTAACAATTACATAACTGAGCGAATGACACTTAATGACAGTTGTCATAAACATGCATAAAACCTCCTTCATATTCATGACATGTGTCATGTCATGATTATGAAGGTGTCATGTCAGTCTTATGCACACCCCTTCAAGTAAAGTGTTACCAAACTTTACATTTTTTAATTACAAAGCCTAAAATAGTATTTTCTTGTAAAACATACTCTAATAATCCAATAATTATTTTAAAACTTAGAAAAAATATTTTTATAGTGTTACTGGAGACTTTTGATTGACTTCTGATATAAATCAAATCAATCAGACTAACCATAACCTACAGCCCAACCCTAAACAAAAAAACTATTTAAATAAATAAATAAATATAAAAAAAATATATATATTTAATTCAATTATGAATAATTTTTCACTTTAAATCTGCTCTCAAAAAGAGTTTTTTTTATCCACCAAAATAGCAAAAAAAAATAAAAAATATATATATATTAAAATGAGTCTGTCACTGTAATAAGCTGATTTGCTGCTCAAGAAACATTTCTTATTATTATCAATGTTGAAAACAGTTGTGCTGCTTCATATTTTTGTTGAAACCGTGACACATTTTTTTGGGATTGTTTGGTGAAAATTCTAAATAACTGCATTTATTTGAAATATAAATATTTTGTAATATTACAAATGTCTTTACTGTCATGTTTGATCAATTTAATGCATCCTTGCTGAATAAATTAATTTCTTTCAAGAAAAATTTAAAATGTGAAAATCTTATCTGAACACTGTTAGGTTGCACTTGTTATTCCAAAGAGAGATTGGACTGGTTACAATGTAATTAATTGTGTTTAGAACACACAGAGGAGGGGCCTGTAACCGTGGAGACGAGGGAGGCGTCGTCACAGCGGCCCCACATGATGACACCAAACAGCACACAGAACGTCCAGGATGGAGACGCCCCGCTCCAAAATCACCAGGACCCACAGGAAGGGTACGTGACCCACAGAAGAGCTGACACAAAACATGCTGCATACTATATGCTCTATGTCTGTATATCTGTCTAGTTCAGTAAATGCTGTTCATTTGGCATATCAGCAATAATTATTTCTATTTAAAAAAATATATATAAAAAAAAGTGAATTAAATTATAATTTGTAAT